ACCTTTGTCCGACAAAGGGGCTGATCCTGTCACTATGATCACCCACTCAGATGAATTCTCGGACTGTCCCAACATACCCAGGTTTTGACCCCCACTAAGGATCTCACTGATTGGCATATCAAAGACAGCCCAATCCGACACTTAGTGCAGTATCGTAATCGAGTCTTGGGGTCAGGTGTAACTTTCCAGTTTTGCCCATCAATCTCTAAGGTCCAGGGCAATACTGGAAATCTGGTCCGGTTCAAAGATTCAACTAATCCTACACTGCATGCGCCTTGGGTCTCACCCTGGCGGCTGAGACAGGCGACCACAACATTTGGCAGCACACCAGTGTCAGCCTTGCCAGGATAAATCTCCCCAGGCTTATCCAACGACTGTAAACATTCTAAACTAACACGAGTCTTATAAGTGTCCAGTTTAAGGGTATTACACAGAAACACACCACAGAAACAGAAACACACCACACGAGTCTTTATTCATTTACAATAAATGTCATAATGTACATCATTCTGATTGGATCTAAGGGCATACAACTGTCTAACAGATAATATAGAAAAATCTTTGCATAACTGGACCATCCCAAAAATTGCACCCTTAGAAATATACAAGAAAGGTATATTTAGTCTAAAAACAAATCTAAATGTTAGAACAGGGTTACACTTTGGTTTAATACAAGTCGCGTTAAACCATTAACTAGAACAGGGTTATAGACAACAGCCTTAGCTTGCTTAACCGACTCAGGACATAATAAATTCAGTTTTCTATTTAGAATAAAGAGGGGAAGAAATTTCATTTCGTTAATTATGGTAAGGTTATGTATACCAAAGAAATGTTGAGGTTCGAAGTTAAGTGAGAATTTACAACAAAGCATTATTAGGAAAACGGTTTGAGCTTTGGATTAAGGAGAGAGAAGAAAGGTGATTCTTGGTAAATATAGGGAGGTAGATAGATTTGAGTGGGATCCTAGGGACGTGTCAATCTTACAAGGTTTTCAGTGGAGGTTCACCAAGTATCAGATTTTGAGAAGATGAGTGGTAGAAGTTGGAAAGCTTCATGATCTTTGTCCAAGGCTATATAGACTTAGTCCACATGATATTTGGAATTTTGGATTAATCAATCCTATGAGTTGAATGGAGAGCAATCAATATAGTGTCCAAAGCTTAAGTAACCTTTACTAGATAAGGAAGTGGAAAAGGGTTTCATGTGGCTGACAAGGTTATAGAGAAGGTAAAAGTTTCTAGTTAAGCAGGAGATGAGCTTTGGTGGAAGGAATGTAAAAAAAATGGCAGATTACAGTTAAATCCCTTGGGTGCTACTAAAAATTAGATAGAGCCTTACAGTATTAAGGCTATGTGGGGTAACTTTATCCCTCCAAGGATAGAGGCTTTTGCTTGGATAGTTGTGAGGGACAGTATTTTGAGACAGCAAATCATTTAAAGAATAGAGGAATTGGCATGAACAGTATTTGCTATATGTGCCTTAAAGAAGAGGAGAATGTAAGACATCTTTTTTCTTTCTTGCAAGGTGACAGATTTTGTATGAAGGTTTTAGTCATCTCTTTTCAAATTGAGGTGTTTTCAGCCTAACACTCTGGAAGAGATTTTGGCAAATGGCCAAAAATCCCAGGCAGTATGAATTATGAAATCCAAAATCTTTTGGAGCTGCTTTCCTTTTGCATTTTATTGGGGAATTTGGAAGGAGAGATAGGAGATTGTTTAAAAAAGAAATATTGTAGAAATGAAAGAATTGTGGCTAATATTGGTAAAATGATTATTCATTGGGAGCTTTTTCTTTTTTTTTTTTTTGGTAATGGGCTACACAATAGGGGTAGCCTCCCCCAAACCCCTAGACCCCCCCAACCTGGGTGAAGGCAGGACTCGATCCTAGGTCTCCACTACAACCAGCTAGAGAATTTACCAGCAGGCTAGCTGGCACCTTTGATTATAGATTGGACGTTCATTCTTCCAGATTTTCATCAGATATATAGACCAGAGTTTGGAGACCACTAAGCTTCAAATGTTGCACCTTTGTGTATATAAAACCAAGTTGTATCAAGATGTTGCCTTAACACCTTTCTCTCAAATGTACTAGCCATTTTTATTTTCTATTAATAAATATTTTGTTTTACTATGTAAAAAATAAAACAGGAATAAACCACTGACAGGATATCTCAAGATTTATGCAAACAAATCCTGTGCATTGGAAAAACTATGAGAACAACTACATGTGAATTTTGAAGATGTTACCCTACTTGTGTTGATGAAATCATATGAACTTCATTGCCACCATCCATAGTCCAAATCAGAGTACTTTGTGTCTCAAAGTAGAAGTGCTCCTGACCTCCTACTTGAACCTCTCCCTCTATAATATTGTAACAAGAACCTGACTGGAAACAATCTTCCACATCCCCTTTTTCTAAGTTTTTCTCACAATTAGGATGGAAACTATTAGCTTTGAGGGCATCCTTTATGGATAAAATTGCAGGGAGTTCTTCATACTGGATGTGGACATTTCTTGCAGCTAATTTCGCAGTTTCATGTGTATCGGCCACAACCACCCCTATAGCCTGCACAAAACAAACAAAAGCTTCTACTGAAATAACTAAAGCAACAGTAAGAATCACATAGCTACTATATGGAAATCCCATACCTGACCTACACAAGTTACAAATTCTGAAGCAAAAAGTTCTTCATCATCAATAACTGCTCCAATATTATTACCACCAGGTACATCTTTAGAAAGAAACAAACCTTCAAATCCAGGTAAAGATTTGGTCCCTGAATCATCTATAGAGAGTATACGAGCATGAGGCTTACTACTCAAAACCAAAGCAGCATATAAACCATTTGGAGGCAAGGGCAAGTCAGCAACATATTCCGCCTCCCCTGTAACCTGAACAGTATGACACAAACAGACAATCAGGTCACTCCTCTTTCTAAGCTAGAAGCAACAAGTAATAATATACTCATTTCCAACCAATTTAACTTTTTTGAACAGGTGACCAACAACAAGAATATATTAGAGAAAATTGAAAGATGAAAAGAGTACACAAATATATCTCATCAAATCTCTTAGAATTCTACTATAGAGATTCCTTGTCAGCTTTGGAATCCCTTCCCCATGGAACAATGAAGCTGAAGTTTGATATTGTTGTGGGAAAACAGGGGCACTCTACCATTGCAGGTTACTCTGAAGCCACATGGAGGAGGTTCTTGAGAGTTACTCTTTGAACCAGTGGAACTGTGGAAGTAATATTTTATATGAGAAAAGCTGTCACTTCCAAGTGAATTACATCTAATGTATGCCCCAGATCATTCCCTATTAGAGGTAGAGGGGGACTGCCATGTCGCAGTGGTATTGTACCACAGAATCTAAATCATTAGAGGCCACAGGTAATATCTTGTCCAACTGGATTGAGAGATCAGTCAATGAGCTAGGCAATTCTTTGACTAGAAGTGGAGTAGGAAGGAGTTGTATAGGGGTTCAGCCCTGCCTTAATAAAGGCAACTTTCAGTCCATATGGGATGTACATGTGTGAGGAGGCTTCTTTGGCACAACATAGGGGTTTTGTGGTGGTTTCTTTCCTATTCTTGTTCCATTACATTTTTTCACTTTTAAGTAATAAATTCTTTCTTGATCTTAGTTCAAAGTTTTAGTGATGAGAAAGAAGAAGAAGAAGAAGAAGAAGAAGAAGAAGGGATGTGTCGAGAATGCTTGGTGTGTTACTGTTCACACCAAGAGACTTTTCATTTAACCTCCTGAGCAAAATTACAAAGGGGCCCTTGAATAGGCACCCAAATAAATACATAAAAGGACAAATGCCCTTACACTTTCAACAGTAAGGAGAAGAAGAGAATCTCAAATAAGACAATCAGCCAATACTTTCAACAGTAAGGACAAATGCCCTTACACTTTGATTGGGTGACACCTTTAATAAGACAATCAGCCAACTAATCTTCAGACCTCACTGTAAAATCCCTATACGATTCTAGGTTAAAGTAGAGAAGAAGAGAAAGAAGAAGAAGAAGAAGGAGAAGAAGAGTTCGGCCAGATTAGGAAAAATCAGTCCACCTCTAGCTGACCCACTTGTATTTATCTCAAATAATATGGTTACAAGAAAGACCATATTGTCTCTCATAAGTGATGGGACACATAACTTAAACTTAAATAAAATAGACCTTTCACTCTCAAATAGATAAACCCAAATGACCAAAATACCCCTGAATTGTGTATTCAAACACTCACAAAAGGTAAACAAATCTCTCCACTGGCAACGTTCTGTAATGAAATGTCAATTAACCTCTATATGCTTTGTACGATCATGTTGAACAGGATTGTGAACTATGTTTATAGCAACTTGATTGTCATAATATAATATCATTGGAGTATCACATTCCCATTTCTGTCAACAAGTTCTTCAGCCACAACAATTCTAAGACTCCATGTGCCATAGCTCTATACTCTGCCTCTGCACTAGATCGAGCCACAACTGATTGCTTCTTACATCTCCAAGATACAATATTACAACCCACCAAGGTACAATAGCCATAAGTAGACCGCCTATCATCAATAGAATCTGCCCAGTCAGCATCAGAATAGGCCTCTACCTTTAGATGACCATGACTAGAATACAATATCCCCTTTCCTGGACATCCCTTCAAATAGGCAAGTATTTTATTTGTTGCTCTACTTGCATATGAGATGATCTGGGCTTGTGCATGTATTGGTTGACCACACTCATTGCATATGATATATCTAGTCTAGTCAGACACAAGTAGAGAACGCAATCGGCAAATCTTTGATACACACCTTTGTCAGGAATGACATCTCCATCATCAATTCCCAACTTATGGTTGGGATCAATTAGAGTTTCAGCTAGTTTACAATCCAATTTTCCTATCTCCTAAAGCAGATCAAGGACATATTTCCTTTAAGGAAGATAAATGCCCCTCTTTGACCTTGCAACCTCAATCCCTAGGAAATACTAGAGATTTCCAAGATCCTTGATTTCGAATTCAGTAGCAAGGAAAGACTTCAATTCAGCAATCCCAGAGATATCATTGCCTGTGATAACAATATCGTCGACATATACCATCAACATAGTCACTTTTTCATTTGCTCGCCTGATAAACAAGGTATGATCAGCTTAAGATTGTAAAAAGCCAATTTTCAAGATAGCTTTCCTGGATCTGTCAAACCAAGCTCTAGGGGATTGTTTAAAGCCATAAAAAGATTTCTTCAAACAGCAAACCTTTCCTTCACTCCCAGGGATGTTCACTCCTAAAGGAAATTCCATATAAACTTCCTGAAGTTCTCTATTAGGGAACGCATTCTTATCATCCATTTTATACAAGGGCCAAGAATAATGGGCAGCAAGAAGCATGATAACTCGGATTGAATTCTTCTTGGATACTGGAGCAAACATTTCCTAGTAATCAATGTTGTAAGACTAAGTGTACCCTTTTACCACAAGTCAAGCTTTATACCTTTCAATTGATGCATCAAGTTTATACTTCACTATGTAAATCCACTTGCATCCAACAAGAACTTTGCCCTCTAAAAGAGAAACAATTTCCCATGTCTAGTTTTTTTCAAGTGCCTCCATTTCCTAGTTCATCGCATCCTTCCAACGAGGGAACTGCACTGCCTCAATAACATTGTAAGGGATAAAAACAAAAGCAATAGATGAGATATAGGCATAATAAGAGGGAACTACACTTGCAACCAACAAGAACTTTGCCGTCTGAAAGAGAAACAATTTTCCATGTTTGGTTTTCTTCAAGTGCCTCCACTTCCTGGTTCATGCATCCTTCCAATGAGGGAACTGCACTACCTCAATAACATTGTAAGGGATAAAAACAAAAGCAATAGAAAAGATATATGTACAATAAGAGGGTGATAAGGTATCATAAGAGACATAGTTTGAGATAGGATATTTGACATACGTCTGTTTTTCTTTACGATGCAATAGGACGTTAAGGTCAGAATCTACACTAAGAGGCTCAACAACATATTTAACACAGGCATCAGAAATAGGAAGATGTTAAAAATCCAAATTACCCGAGTCTGGGAAGTCAGATTGTAATGGACATTCAATCTTTGGAGTCATCCTCTTTTTCTGTCTGACGAACCACTGGTGCCAAGACCAAGGGATAGGAGGAGGCAAAGGAAGTGGCATAGGAAAAAAAGGATTGATAGCATTAGTTATAGGAATTGGCATACAAAAAAGGAATTTGATCTTTACTAACATTCTCCCCCAAAAGAAAAGGACAAGAGATGGAGAAGAAGGGAGTAGACTCAAAGAATGTGACATCTTTGGACAAATTACATTTTGCAAAACAATGATTATAACAATGATACCCTTTTTGGACTAAAGAATATCCCAAGAAGACAAACTTGATAGACTTTGGATCAAATTTTAACCTAGGACTCATGTCATGGACGAATTAGATGGAAGGTATCGTCATTAGGGAAAAGAAGTTGATGAGGAGACTAGAGACGAAGAGTCCTCGAGGGAAGTCTGTTAATAAGATATACAATTGTTTGAGCAACATCCCCCCAAAACCAAGTTGGGACATGCATCTAGAATAACAAGCCCCTAGCAACTTCAATCACATGTATGTTTTTCCTCTCCAATACCCCATTTTATTGGGCAGTATGAAGGCAGGAACTCGTAGAGAAGATGGGCCGAATGGCCCATAGACTGTCATTTTATGTTATSTTATGTTTCTCTCTGTTGTGGGCCTTATTCTGGGCCCATACTCTGTAATATTCTGTTTTTTGTATTTTCCTGCTCACTCAAGGGCCTCTCTGTAATTTGTCAAAGATTAACTTATTAATAAGA